TCACGCAGATCGTGGCGCCAGGGTCCAAAAACACATGGGGATTTCAACATTTTAACATAACACCTTCAAAAACACATAGTAATTTCAATAGTTTTGACTTCGATTCTCAGAGAATGGCAGTTTCGCCTGAAACATCCTCCCAAAATCGAGCCCCGACGTACCCTCTGGTACCCCAGACCCCGCCTCGGAGCCTCCTGGGGGCCTCCTGGAACCTCCTGGGGCCCCTGGGGATTTCTGAACCTTCTGGTGCCCCAGACCCCGCCACGGAGCCTCGGACGGGTCTCCTGAAACCTCTTGGGGCCTCCTGGGGCCTCCTGCGGCCTCCTGGAGCCTCTTGGGGCCTCCTGAAGCCTCCTGGGGTCTCCTCGGTCCTTCTGAGGCCGCCTGGGGCCTCCTGGGGCCTCCTGGGGCTTCAGAACTACATGCACACACAGAGACACAAATCACGCCCAACACATCACACGCTAGACAAATATAACACACAACACCTACAACGCACAAAAAGCACGCACAACACAGAGCACACACATCACACACACACACACCCACACAACACTCACAATCCTGGGGCTTCCTGGAGCCTCTTCTGGTATCCAAGTCGGGCCTCCTGAGGCTTCCTGGGGGGCAATGGTACACACATCGCAAGGTGTGGCAACCCCACTTGCGCTCGAGTGCGACTTCGCTGTTGCATTTCACTCCTGCTTCAAACGCCCCTTCAGTTTTTTTGTATGAGCCTGGGCACACACGTATGTAAACTAGAGAAGTACATGAAACACGACGCGAGCATGTCATTATATTCTTCTCTTTTCCAGGACCAGGCGGGAGCGCGAGAAGGTGGCTTACCTCTGGCTGCGGAACATGCGGAAGTTCGCCCCGGAGCTCCACCGGCGGGCTTTGAGCCTCAACCGGCGGGACGGCTTCCGCATGAGGTCGGGGCTCGCGTAAGGGGGGTCAACGTTGACGGGGGGTCAACCAATCCCCTTTGGCTGACCTGGGTTTGGGAGCCGCGTGGGGCTGATTCCCCTTCGCCGCCCTCCGCTGGCCCCGGCGTGGGCGTCACTCGGCGGCTGGCCGGGCTTCGCGACGGGGCCCTGGCCCGACCTGGGCCTGTGCCGACCCGGGGTCCCCCCGCCCTCGGCGAGGCACGAGCGGCCCGTCGGCCAGCGGCTCTCCGACGCCTCCAGCTCCAGCAGCGAGTCGAGCAGCGACTCCTCGAGCGACGAGGCCGCGGACGTCGACGACCGGGGCTTGCGGGGCGTGGCTCGCGTGGGCGCCGCGCTGGGGCCCGCGGCCTTTTGCCGCCAGGGGGCGGGGCGGCCGGCGCGGGCCGTCACGCCCGAACGTCAGGCGCGGGGGCCGGTCGCGGTTGGGCGGCGACTGACGACGACGACGACGACGACGACGACGACGACGAGCGACGACGACGAGCGACGAGCGACGACGACGAGCGGCGACGACGAGCGACGACGACGACGACGACGACGACCTGGTCTGAGAGGACGGCGTGGTTGTCCTCGCCTCTTGGCCACCTCCATCTCGCTTTCGATATGAGATCAATGCGTTGCAATGTTTGGACACCTGGCGTCTTTGCCCAGTCTCAGGCCCCTGGACCCTCACCGATCGATGGCGGATCTCACGACGCGAGCCCGCCGCGTGCGCTCAGAGGGTGCTGTCTCTTGTCGTGACGTCGGGGTCGGGGATTGGCCGACATGCTTTCATCGATCGGGCTTGAAAAATGGCGCAGAAAGATGGGGTCGGGGGTTTCTGGCCGTGATTTTCAACGATGTTCACAGACGTGCTCGGCAGTTCGAGGTTCGAGTTTCGAGTTTAAGATGTTTTCGGGCGTTTGCGTCGGTCATCGGCGGTTTTCCAGCCTCGGGATGCGTTCCGACGGTTGCGCCTCGCCGCAGGCGTTGGGGGTGCCTGGATCTTTTCGTAACGGCCGCTGGAGACCCGAGTCAAGGTCCGAAGACACGGACATGGTCGTGTCGCGAAAGAGTCGCGATGGAAGGTTTTGGCCGTTTGCGGCATCTAGGGACCCTCGCCGGACCCCAAGGCCGTCAAATAGCGGCTCTGGATGAAACATTGACCCCGGGGGAAAGGGTCGGGAGTTTTGGGGACACTGGGACAGCGCATGTTCGGGTTCCGACCTCGACCCGATCCGATCTGGCACGAGCCGACTAGTCGGTTCGTGCCGAATCGGGGAGTGAGGGAGGGAGGGAGGGAGCTCCCCCCACAGCGTCTCAACAAGAATTTCGGGGCGGCTTGTTTTTCGCTTTTTCTCGGCCTCTTGAGGCCGTCTCCTGCCCCCCCTGGACCGTCAGTCCACGACTCAGGATGGCAAGCCAGCCCTTGGGAAGCGGGCGAGATCCCTGGGGGTCGACGCAAGGGAGAACTGGGGAAGGTCGGAGGAGAGGGTCCCCTCTCTGGCCTGCACGGCCGGGTCCCGAGGGAGAGCGGGCCTTCGGACCCGTTTCTCGCCGTTTTGGGGCTCCCTGGG